CCTGTCTGGGCCAAAACCCTTTCAAGAAGTAGGTTCTGAAAACCTTCTGTGGATCAGGCATTGATGTGGTGCTGAGCATTCAATAGTGTAGAAACCAACAAAAGTCTTTGCCTTTGCTAGGCACATTTGGTAACACAGCTCTGTAATCCCAGCTACTCAGTAGCCTGAGGCAGCAGGATCACTGGGAGTTCAATGCTAGAATGGTTACTTACTGATATCCTGTCACAAACAAACAAATAACAAAAACAAGTTCAACCCCAGGATTTAGTCAGTGGTATAAGTGCCTGCCTGGCAGGTGCGAGCAGGTCATGAGTTCATCTCCGGTACCAAAACAAAAACAAGTTCAAGCTCAGTCTGTTTTGAGATCCTATCTCAAAAAGAAAGAAAGAAAATTAAAAAAAAAAAAAAAAAGAATTGGAGATGTGGCAGAGGGCTTGCCTAGTATGCTCAAGGCATTAGGTTCAATCCCTGGTACCACAATGGGGAAAAAAAAGTTGTATCATCTATTGGAAAATTCTATTATTTGGGGAAATAGTGCAAGGGCAGATGACAGGAATGTTGGCTTGATGTTAGTTTTTATTTGTTTTGCTAATTGCCCAGGCTATGTGTTGAATTTTTTATTTATTTATTTTTTTTATTGGTACTGGGGACCGAACTCACAACCTTATGCTTGTCACTGAGCTAAATTCCCGGCCCCATGTCTGGAATTTGTGATCCCTTCTCTTCAGCTTTCAGAGTAGCTGGGAACACAAGCATGCATGCATCTCTGTCTAGCTGTTGTTGAAATTTTAAATAAGATGTTTAGGAAGTACTCAATAAGAAAATAACATTTCCTCAGCTTTAAAGGCAGGGTGAAACAGGAGAGATGCAGGAAAGAATGTTTCTGGCAGAAGGAGCAGCATGCCTGGGACCTGAGTCAGGAGTATGCTACGTGTGTTGTGGGCCTTGGTCAGATAGGTAGCCAGTGTGACTAGGCTAAAATGAGCAGCAGTAAGGAAATCAGACCAGAAAGATAATACAGAGCCAATTCCTCAGCATTCATAGGTTATTCTAAGGACTTGATTTTTATTATTGGTAAGGAGGGGAACCATTAATGGGAAGATTTAAACATGGAATAAAATGATCAAAATGTAGTTTTATACATCTCACTCCTTTATATCTCTCACTCCTGAGATTTGGTGAGTCTGAAGAATGACAACGATAGAAGCACAAGGGGACCAGTTAGGAAGCTGCTATAATAGTATGATCAAAAGATGATACCTTAGGGGCTGGGGATTTAGCTCAGCGGCATAAGCGCCTGCCTTGCAAGCAGGCGGTCATGAATTTGATCCCTGGTACCGAAAAAAAGGAAAAAGACCAAAAAAAAAAAAAAAAAAAAAGAAAAGAAAAAAAAAAAGATGATACCTTAGCCCAGGAGGCAGTGTGGAGATGTCAGTGAAGTGTTGGAACCTACGTATTAAAAACATTTGGGGAGCAGTACCAGAAATGGAACTCATGACCTCCCATTTGTAGGTCAGTTGCTACGCTGCTGAGCTGTGTCCCTGGCCCAACATTTTTTTGAAATAAATTCAAACTTTAAAAACTGTTACAAGAATATTACAAAGTCCTCCTGGATACCTTTTATCAGATTTCCCAGCTACCATTTTACTATATTTGCTTTATGTCATTTATTGTTCTCTCTCTACATGCAAAGATTTTTCTGAACAATTTGATAGTATGCTATAGGTAAGGTGACCCTTTTAATACTTTGGAGTCCATTTCCCAAAGATGTTTTTCTTGTAAGGTTATATTAGTCAGCTTGAGTTACCATGACTTCATGGCTTCAACAGTAGAAATTTGTTCTCTTGCCATTCTGGAGTTGGAAAGTAAACCATCAAAGTCCTATTCACTTTCTGGTGAGAGCTCTAGGCTTTTTTCTTAACTTGTAGCCAACATTTTTGCTGTGTCTTCCCATACCATGATGGTGGGGTCAGAACACCAGCACTAGTGTCTGCAGACTCTAGTCTTATTAACTTCAATTGCCTCCTTCCTTCAAGCCCTGTCCCCAAATAGTCATTTGGGGAGTCAGGGCTTCAACATATGAATGTGGGGCCATGGGCACAATTCAGACATACAGCAGCATTTGTGTGGCTTCTGCAGTTACCAAAATCAGGAAATGAACACAGATACAAAGCTACCAGTGAAGCCACTGACCCTAGTGGAATTTTGCCATTTGTCCCAGTAAGGCCCAAGATGGTGGGTTGCATTTGGCTGTCCTTCTCATTTCTTCTATCAAAAGCAGTTCCGCAGTCTGTCTTGGTCTTTACTGTGGTCTGGATGTGATTTGTCAAAGGTTTATACGCTGGCTGGGCTTGGTGGCACACATCTGTAATCCCAGCACTCAGTAGGCTGAGGTAGGAGAATCACTGTTAAGTTCAAGGCCAGTCTGAACTGCATAGTGAAACCCTGTCTCAAAAAAAAAGGTCAGGAGTTTAGCTCAGCAGCGTTAAGTGCCTACTTGGCAAACACAAGGTTGTGAGTTCCATCCTCCCGCACACACACACAAAAAATAATAATAATAATAATTCCCCAAAGGTTCTGGAAGATTGATTCTCAGTGTGGCAATGTTAAGAGGTGGTCACTCGTCGCAACTTTCTGCAACAAATGTAATCATCATATGCTGCAAATGTGTTTTAATAAAATTAAAAAAAAAAAAAAAGAGGTGGTTGAATTTGAGGATTCATAGAAGTATTGAGGTCACCAAGGGTTTCACCCTGGGAAGGTACTAGTATCACGGAATGAATGAGTTTTCTCCAGAGCAAGACTGGCCTTCTTAGAGCCTGCCCTCTGAATCCCTTTGAGGCTTAAGACTTTGAGCTAAACTTTTGGTGTTTTTATTACCCACCCTCAGATATTTTGTTTTAACAATAGAAAGGGATGAAAACAATAACCAGAGCTAGGTGTAGTGGCACATACCTGTAATCCTCGCAGTTTGGGACTGAGACAGGAGGATTGAGAGTTGGAGGTCAGTTTGAGCTATATATGAAATTAAAAGCTGGCCTGGTCTGCATACTGAGAGCCTGTCTCAAAAAACTAAACAAAACAAAGAAATAAAAACAAAAACATGGACAATTTAAGGAGTAGGAACCAACAATTTATAGAATATCCATAAATTTGTGTTTGTCTGATATTTTACCATTAACAGTGTTCAGGTTACCCAGTTTTGGTCAGGAACATCAAAGAAGTGATTCTGTCTTCTTAATGCATTATATTTAGAGGAGTGTAATGTTAGTCAGGTCCATTAACAGTGATGTTCAGTTTATCACTTTATTAAGGTTCTGTTACCAAGTTTCTCTATTGTAATGCCAATGAAAATTTCATGAAGAAATAGCGTTGGTGTTGTTACTTAAGTCAGTTTTCAGCATAATAGTTGCCAAATACTAATTTGTATTGCCATTATTCATACTACATTTATAGTTGGCATTATATCTTTTTGGGGTTTTTTTTTTTTTCTTTTTTTTGGTCTTTTTTCCTTTTTATCGGTACCAGGGATTGAACTCAGAACTGCCTGCTTACAAGGCAGGCGCTTATGCCGCTGAGCTAAATCCCCAGTCCCGCCTCCCCCCCTTTTTTCTCGTCTTTTTGCATCAATGTTTATTAGGGAAATTGGCCTGTAATTTTCTTTCTGTAATTCTCTTTCTTAATTGAGTACTTATGTGGTTTTGTTATCAGGGTAACGCTTACTTCCAGGAATGAATTGCTTCCAGGAATGAATCATTCAATGAGTTTGAGAGATGCACTTAAGTAAAATTAAGAAACATTTTCTGAATTTGGATGTCTGCAATTTTTCCCCCCCTTTTGTGTGCCCATCTTTAACTGTCATCATTTTTGTTGCCACTCCTGTCTCATCAGTCTTCAGTTAATGCTTGATTTAATGCAAACTTTGTGAAGCCCAGCCTGCAAGAGGTCGTGACTTGGGTGAAGAATTCCTGGGATAGAATCATTGACAGCTGTGTGGCCACTACACTATAAACAGGCTACATGGACAAGAAGTGCTTATTTAAAGAGAGCTCTATGAATGGAAATGAGAGATTAGAGCCAGGGTTCTACAGGTAATGGAGTCCCAAGAAATTCAGGCTGGAATTTGGAGGTTTAAGAGATAAAACCATCTTCCAAAAGATGACATGACTGTAGTTTTGAACATGAATAAATGTAGACTTTTGCATATGAATAAATGTAGATTGTGGTACATGAGAAAATAAAACATCTCCTGAAAATAATCCTGTTGCATCTATAAAACCCTGTTGTGGCTTGTATGGAGATGTGCCTGCAAAGCCTCCTGTGGTCATAGGGGGGCTTTTCGGAGGTGGCTACATGTAGGGTTTGTGGTGGTAGAATCAAGGATGTGATGCTGAGATTGATTTATGGTATGATGCTAGAATTAAGGGTGCCACTCTGGGTGTGAGTGCTACCCTCACTAAGGTAGGGAACTTAGGATACCATATAAGGAGCAGAAAGAGGATCCTTGCTTGTTGCTTCTTTGTTACTTTACTTCTTTGGTGACCTCTGCTATTCTATCCTGTCTTGGAACTAGCTGACTGTGAACTAAAACCTTTACAAACCATGAGCTGCCTTTAACTTTGGTTGTTGAGTGTTTTATCTCAACAATGAGAAAAGTAACTAAGATAGATCTGGTCTTGTTTTGGGGGATATACAGTATGCAGTCAAATTTATCCTTTTAGATCTATGAAAAAACAGCACACAGTTTGACCAAACTATTGTGAGTACACTGTGATTGAGATAAGTTGAACTAAGTATAAAATGACTCGAGTACTTTTGAAGATAACCGTGTGCAATATTACCATTGTTAAATCTCTACCATCTTGTTTTGAAAGCCTATATTATTATTGCTTTGGATTTTTTGTTATGTTGTTTTATTTGCTTTTTTTCTTGTATGTTTTTTTTCTCTTTAAAATAAAATAAAATGACTCATTTGGTTTTTATTGTCTTGTTATCTCTAGCTGCATATCCCCACCGTTTAAATCTCTTCTACCTTGCCAATGATGTGATACAGAACTGTAAAAGGAAAAATGCAATCATATTTCGTGAGTCGTTTGCTGACGTCCTTCCTGAAGCAGCTGCTCTTGTGAAGTAAGTAAATGGTGATAGCTCTTTCTTTATTTCTTTTTGAGACAAGGTCTTATTGTGTGGCTCAGAGTGGCCTCAAAGTTTCTGTACTTCTTCTGCTTGGGCCTCCAACTGCTGGGTTCACAGGCGTGCAGCACTATGCCTGGCACATTTTTTTTAATTAGCTTATGTTTGTATTATGTAATAGTTACATTCATTTTGGAGGAATTGGAGCATGTCGTATCATTTCTTGATCATTTTAAAGCCCTTTACCCTTTCCTTCACCACATGCTTCAATATTTTTGCCCCTATGGTGGTACTGGGTATTGAACCAAGGGCCTTTGCACTGAGATACATATTTTTTGAGATAAGATCTCCCTAAGTAACCAGGCCGGACTCAAATCTGTGATTCTCCTTTAGCAGCCCCTCTAAATGCTGAGATTATAGGCTTATATGAGCACCCATGGGTTTGGTTTTTTTTTTTTTTGTCTTTCTTTTTTATCGGTATCAGGGATCAAACTCACGACTGCCTGCTTGCAAGGCAGGCGCTTATGCCGCTGAGCTAAATCCCCAGCCCCACCCATGGGATTTTGATTATTTTATATTGTAGTACTAAGAATTTGAAGTTTAAACCCAGAATTTCAAATGCTAGGCAAATATTCTACTCTAAGCTGCAGTATGTCTCTAGCCCCATTCATTCATTCATTTCCTGTACTGGCAGTTGAATCCAGGGCCTTCACATCCAGTTCCTTAAAGACAGTGTCTTGCTGGGTTGTTGTGGCTAGGCTCCCACTTGAGACTCTCTTGATACTGGGAGTGTAGTCATGTGCTGTTATACCTGTTTTTATGTGTTTGTTTTATTTTGTTTTTAACACTTTTTTCCCCCAGAACTGAGAATTGAACTCAGGACCTTGCACTTGCCAGGAACACTTTTCATTTCTTCTTCTAGTTTTTCTGAAATCTGGCTCCCCACTTGAAATCTGTGTTAAATGAGAATACTTATTCCCAGTTCCATATTGATTTACTCCACTTTGTAGAATTCACATCCCTCATTGCTCACAGTTAATTACTATGAAGTGGTGAGAGAAGGAAGGAAGGATTTTACTCCTGTGTTTGGGGTAGCATTCTGACCTCCTTTCCTCTTCTGAAGAAAAGAATATACATTACTGCATGAGTAAGTTTTATTTCCTCAGGGAATACTGCTAGTTTCAAAATAGCATTTACTAAATTTTCACCATGAACACTTTTGTATATTTATTAAGCACCCCCCATTTAGGGGGAATTATATATGTATATTATATATTATATGTAAATAAATATAAATATATTATATGTAAATAAAGTATATTATATGTATTCAATTTTTATCCTGTACTAATAGTGTTTTCTTTGTGTTGTATCCGTACTTACAAGTTGTTTTTTATAGATGACACACAATTACAAGATAAACATTTATGTGGAGCAATTATAATAATTGAATATTTCCTCAAATTATATACTTAGTAATATTGATTTATCTATTAATATTAACTCATTAAGAACTGAATAAGCAACTGAGTGTGGTGGCACACTGCTATAATCCCAGCACTTGGGAAGCTGAGGCAGGAGGATTGTTGTGAGTTCAAGACCAGCCTGGGCTACAAAGTGAGCTCAAGGCCAGCCTGAACTGCATAGTGAGACCCTGTCTCAAAAAGACCAAAAAAAAAAAAAAAAAAAACCTGAATAATCCTTACTCTTGCCTTTCAATTAACTTAAAATGTTCACTTGCTATTAAAAGATTAAATTATAGTACCAGTGAAATGTACTAAGTAATAAGGATTTATGCACAAATCAAGTTCATAAAATAATAACATCTATACTTTGAATGCTCATTACACACATTTTGTCATTTAATTCTGAGCCTCATATAATGAGTACAACTGCTATACTCGTTCTAAGTGAGAGAAAACTGTTACTTAGGTTTTATATATATTGCCTACATTCTCACAGCTGTTCGGGTATAACTAGCCAGAAATCCACCCCAGCCCATTCATACCCCAAAGTCCGTATTCTTTACCACTTAACTGCTAAACTAATAGTTCATGGACATATATCCCTGTAATCCTAGCTTTCCGGATGGCAGGAGACTCGCAGGCCAGCCAGGGCAACTTGATGAGATCCTGAGTCAGTAAAAAGACTTGGAAATATAGCTCAGTACTCCCTGGGTTCGGTCCCCAGTTGTGGTTGTGTCATTACAAAAAGTGCTAATCTGTGCTACTGCTTTGCATATAAACCCAGTGTAATTTTGAGTAAGAAAAGCAGTATGCTCCATGATCTCTATCCAGGGGTTTAGCTGTATCACTGTAGTTCCTTTAAACTTACACTTGTGTTTGCTTTCTTTCTTGCTTGCTTTTTCTTTTGTTTTTTCTTTTCTATCTTGGGATTTCTAGGCTTTTAGATTTCAGTGCTATAATAATACATTAATATAGCATTGGGGTGGGGGATGTAGCTCAGTGTTAACAGAACTTGCCTAGAATGTACACCTAGGTAGTGCCAGTATTTAATCTCCAGCATCAAAGACACAAAAAAATTGTATATAGTATATGAGGTTGTCACCTTTTGAATTTTTGTGTATAGATATTTTTTTTTTTTTGTCTTTTTCTTTTTTATCGGTACCAGGAATTGAACTCACGACTGCCTGCTTGCAAGGCAGGTGCTTATGCCACTGAGCTAAATCCCCAGCCCCGTATAGATATTTTTTAAAACTGCTATATTTGTGGGTATGGTCGCATGCCTATAATCTCAGCACTCAGGAAGCTGAGACAGGAGGATTACCATGAGTTTTAGGCCAACCTGGGCTAATGAATTCATGGTAATATTAACCTACATATCAAGTCCCTGTCTTAAAAAAATGAGGTAGGATCGAGTGGGACACCTCCATGATGACTATTTTGTATTAATCCAACTATTTCATAGAAAAAAAGTGGAAAGGACATAAACTCTGAATGCCAGTCTTTTAAATTAAAAGTTTAAACTCTGAAATTTTCTTTACCCAGTGAAAGATATCACCAGAAACCTGTAAAGATGTGTTATATTCAAGTACTAATTCTCCATGAAGAACATAGTCATTATGTACTACAAATATATGAAATAAATTTTTTTACAAGAAGTATCATTTAAAAAAAAAAAAAAAGGAAAGCCGGGCATGGTGGCTCATGCCTGTAATCCCAGCATTTGGGAGGCTGAGGTAGGAAGATTGTTGTGAGTTTAAGGCCAGCCTGAGCTACAAAGTGAGCTCTAGGTCAACCTAAACTGCATAGTGAAACCTCTCTTAAAAAGGAATAAAAAAGCCAGGCATGGTGGCTCACGCCTGTAATCCAGCAATCGGGAGGCTGAGGTGGGAGGGCCCTTGCGAGATCGAGACCAGCCTGGGCTATGAAGTGAGCTCAAGGCCAGCCTGAATTGCATAGCGAGACCCCATCTCAAAAAAGACCAAAAAAAAAAAAAAAAAAAAAAAAAAAGAGGAAACCCTGTAGTAAACATCAGATTTCATGTTGAAACAAAAGCATTCCAGGATTAAAGCCCTCTATTGTCATTACTATTTGTCATTGTGTTAGAGATCCTGTTCATTTGGAATTAAGGGGCCAGGGCCATAGCTCAATGACATAGGCATCTGCCTGGCAAGCACAAAGTCCTGAGTTTGATTCCCAGTACCAAAGGGAGGAAAAAAAAAAAAAAAATGAATGAATGAATGCTTTTGGAAAAGAGATACAGTTGTCATTATTTGCAGATAATGTAATTGACAATCTGACAATCCTTAGTTACAGAGAGTTAAGTATTTTAGGCTTTTTTAGTAGGGTCTGTTATAGTTACCTCCTGCTGCCTTTCTAGCATGAAAGCACCTTAGATAAATACAGAAACAAATGAGCTGGAGCTGTGTAACAAAAATAGGCAACAGGCCAGACTTGGCCAGAGATTTGTAATTTGGTAACCATTAGTCTGTATAGAAATCTCAAGAGAATCAACTAAAAAGAGAATTAACTCAAATAGCCAAATTCAAGTTGAACAAAATAAGAATCAGTAGCTTTTCTGTATATGCCAGCAGAAGGCACTTAAACATAACATTAGGGAAAAAAAGATACCTTTTGTAAAACAAAAAGTAGTCTCCCTCAAATGAAAGAAACTCACCCAAGAATAAATGTAAGTATGCAAGACTTTTATAAAGAAATTATTAAAAATTTAAAGAATGTAGTAAAGTTAGAATTTCTTACCAGTTATCCAAATTTACCTTAGAACAGCAGTAGTATCATCAGTGAGTGTGGATTGTTAGCCATATGAAAATGGAAACAGACTTGAACCAGTTCTTGAGCCTGCTTCTGGTCTCTTCAGGTTACTGTAAAGAACTGTCATTTTTCTAAGTTAACAATCTGCTGAGGGGTTTTCCTGTTTGTATAGAAATCATGAATAGGCACTGTTAACAGCCATGGCCTGTCAGCTCTTTCAGTGTTAGTGACTCTCTTTGCTGATAAGAACAACACTACCAGCAGGCCTCAGAAGCTCCTCTAAGTCACTGGAGTTGCTTGCCATTCTGTCACTTTACATTGTCTTCTGCTGCTGGCCACCTTCAGTGTTACCAGCCCAGGCTGTTGGCTGCTTTTAGTGCCACCACCCTTCGGTGCTACCAGCTCTTAGCGTTCTAGCTCAGCATTGTACTTGAGACAGAAATCATGATAGGCAAAGCTGTTCCATCTAGAAGGGGCTTTACTAGGATTTATGCTACAATATAAAGGAACCTGTACTTGTACTGAACCCACTACAGGTGTGGAAAAACTGCTTGTCAAGGAAAAACAGGCTCACATATGTGCAATGTCAGACTTTCTCCTTGGTTGTTGGTAGGGCAAGAGCTTTTCCCAGACATACTTTGTTCATTTGGTTTGTTGGTTTTTTTGAGACAGGATCTCACAGTGTAGTCCAGGCTGGGCTCCAACTCACAGTGATCCTTCTGCCTCAGTTTTCCAAGTGCTAGGATTACAGGTGTGCGCCAC